AAATGATGATGGATTCACTGTATTGGATAAAGAATTGACCTTGCAACAGAATGCAACAGAGAAAAAATTTACAGAAAAAAATCGTACAGTGCTTTTTCCTGATCCCACCTTCTTCTTGTAACCCCAGACTTTCTTTTATGGTCCTCACAGATTTAGAGTACCCTTTCCGCATATAAAAATGTACAGATTCCTAAATTATATTCTACACTATTCTGAATCTAGATCTACCCTTAGTACAAAATACTGTTTGTTTGAATTCCATTTAAGTCAGAAAGAGCCAAATATTGTCCTTTGGGTGGGTGGGTGGATAGGTGGGTAGGGAACTATACCAAGTAAATCCATAAAGTTCTTAAGTTTTTAATTAGTTATATCTTTGTTGAAGCTGAAGCTGGAATATGGGATGGGAAACCACCAGTGAATCACTAAGTTATACGAAGGTAGTAGGAAGCCATTTCTGTTGCCAAGAAAACTGCATAGCTATGTCCATGAAGTCACAAGGAAGTTAAGACTATGGTGCTCTATTTGGCAGGCCAAAGTCCTGTTAACAATGCTTTACATAGACTCAACATCACAATTCAGAAGGCAGTTTTGAGTATATTGAATAGACTATACAGTATATCCCAACTAAATCTTTTTGGGTATGATTCATAAAAATTATTGTAAAAGTAATTATAAAAATACAAAGTTATCAGACATGGTTCTATATATTTTTAAAAATTGCTTAAATATTTTATGCATCTTAATCGATGAACAATCATTCAAGAACTGATGCAAGATATAATACGGATAATATCTGATAAAATTTGGAGAATATACAACTGTGGTGTAACAAACAGCATATACAGAACACAAAAATATTAATACTACAACATCGTTCAGTGCACTTTGCAAATTATTTTCAGCATTAATTGTAGAATTTAAGCAACTATGTCCATTTACACCTCACGTATCATATTTAACATTGACACAAAAGTTTTTGAAAGGTTTAATTCAATCATTATGGTATTAGTAGTTTTTAGTTCCCATTATATAAATATCATTGTACAGATGGTTTTTAAAAAAAAGAATGAATGCAGGATAAGTATTGCAGTTATATAAGCCATTGTATAAGAATGTACTCTTGACATGCTATCACTTTTTGTGATAATAAAGCTATTTGAACCAATAATATTTTACCCAGTTAAAGTACTTTAACAATGGATTTTATTTTTACTTTGCAAAATGGGTTGGGAGGAAGATTCAGAAATGGTTGTGGTAAAGTATTGTAAATGTAAGAAATACATGCCAGTACAGACTAATCTCTGAGTTTTATAAGATAAGTGGTTTAGTGGATAAAGGGAATACAGTAGATATAATCTTTAGCGTAATCAAATTTAGCAGTGCTTTTGACACAGTTCCACATGACATTCTCATAAATAAACTAGTAAAATTTGATTGTAAATGCTTTAGAGGATAGCGTTTTGGATAGAAATGAACTTAATTGTTTAGAACACTGGTCTATAAGCTACATAATTAATTCCAGCAAAGATCAAAGAGAGATCTAGAATAAAATACAGGTCATAATATATAAGATTACTGAATAGCTGTGATGGGAAAGTCATACTTGATGATAAACAGCATTGTTCATCAATGTAAATCTGCCGGGGGGGGGGGGAGGCAAACACTTCTGCCCTCTCCCTCCATTTATCAGCAAATGTCTGATGGAAGTATGACGTATGTAAAACGGAAAGAAATAATAGCTGCAGGTCATATCTTCAACTTACAGTTCAAGAACAAAAATTTACAAGATTTTTGCTTTTATATTCTTAAAGAAAAATGTAAATAAATTGTAGGCCAGACAGAGAAAAGTTGACTAAGGCATGGCATTTAAAAAGATAAATCAACTCTGTTACATGGCATATTCCAATACTTTGATATGAATAATTGGATATTTATAATTATGAAGTTGTTTGTAAATGTAGCTGTGTTTCTAAATGAAGGAGCAGCCATCTTGTAGCTGAGGGCTATGTTTTTGTGGCTGTGCTAGGGACTGTATAAGAAAAGCTGTGGAATGGGACAAAAACTATTTTAATCTGAACTTGATTTGAATATGTTTTATTTTAATTCAATTAATATAGCAGACAAATATATATTTCCCATGGGGGAAAATGGTAAAGCATTTTTTTTGCATCTTCTATAGTACTACTAGTACTAATATCACTAATGAAGATGAATGGTGGCAGAGGTAGAATAACAAAGGAAGCTACTTTTTCACACAGCATATTATTTTTAATGTTGAAATTTGCAAACTCGATCCAATTGTTATTTTAAAACATTATGTCTATTACTCATGTTGGCGATTGCCGCTGTTATCTTTTGAATGAATGGCAATAACCCTCTGGTACCATTGCTAGGGAGCAACAACAGGCAATATGTACATTACAATATTACATCTGGTTTGGGAAATAGTGACTATTCACATTTGATTACCCATATAGGCTAAATGTGATACACTTATGAAAATGATTTTAAAATGCTAGTGTACTTTGGATCTGTGTGAATAGGCGATCCAAACATTACACTAATTTTGCACCAATTGTCTATGATTACCTTATTTTCCCGAAAATAAGACAGGGTCTTATTTTCTTTTGACCCTCCCCAAATGTTGCTTGGGCCTTATTATTGGGGAGGCTTATTGGTTTGGGGTTGCCGGGTGGCTACTCTCTTGTGAGCAGGCGCCTGAAGAGCCGGGCACAGCCTCAAGGGCAAATGGCTGTGTTGCGCTGTCGCAGCAGCACAATAAAGCTGCCATGAGATGACCACGCTCATGAGCAGCCATCCAGCAACCCCCCTTTCTAGCAGGGCAGAGCGCCACTCACTGACCCAGTAATATCCCAAATGTGCTAAGCCACGTGGCGCTCTGCCTGGCTTGAAAGAGAGGTTGCGCAAGCACTTGTTCTGCCTCCAGCTCGTGTGTCTCTCAGCCTCACCATGCCCAGCTCTCCCTGCAGGGCCGGGCCAGGGCACCGCTGCCGCAGCCCTGCTACCACCACCACTGCAGCCCTGCCGCCGCCACCGCCATGCTCCGGCTTCCAAACTCCGGAGATCCGTTGCCGAGTCTTCCGGCAGCAGCCGCTCTGGGACTACGCTTTATGGTTGTGGGCTGGCTGTGGGAAGACTCTCTGTCCCACCAGAGTCTTCCAACAGCCAGCCCACAACCATAGAGCGTAGTCCCAGAGCGGCCGGTGCCGGAAGACTCTGCAGCGGATCTCTGGACTTTGGAAGCCGGTTATGTTCGGAGCATAGCAGCGGCGGCTGCAGCGGCAACAGGGCAACAGCAGCGCCTTGGCCCGGCCCTGCAGGGAGAGCTGGGCATGGTGAGGCTGGGAGGCACAAGTGCTCGCGCAACCTCTCTTTCCAGCCGGGCAAAGCCCCACGCGGCTTAGCGCCTTTGGGATATTACTGGGTCGGTGAGAGCAGCTGCCCGGCAACCCCCCACTCCAGCTGGGCACAGCACCACCCACCAACCTAGCGGTATCCCAAAGGTGTCAAGCAATGTGAGCGCCTTTGCCCCCGGCTCCTGCGGCTTTGCGCCTTCGGGATATTGTTAGGTTGGGGAGTGGCGCTCTGCCTGGCTGGAGGGGGGGCTATTGGGGGAGGGCGTATATTTTTGCCCACAGGAAAAATATGGCATGGCCTTATATTCAGGACATGTTGTAATTTCGGGGAAACACAGTATCAAAGCAGCTCTTGAGTTCTTTTTAAAGCCCTTATGTTAACTTTTTAAAGATTTAAACAATTTGGGGATATATATAAGACTGTTTTCTCTTGTATTCGTTTCCTTTTAAAGTTTTAAACGGGATATACGGAAGACGGCCTTCAATTGTATGATCTTTCTGTAAAGATCAACTATAGAGGCCCTTTTTGAGTGCCAGTCAAGGACCTTCTTATTGGTGTACTCCTGGATGTGGGACTGTTTTCTTTGGCACTATGAAAGAGCATTTTGTACAAGCTTTCAAATATCCTTGAAAATCCATTTGTTCCATCTGCCTTTCTCTAAGAGAGTTTTTATAACACTAATTCCTGAGTCATGGTGTTTCCTTATTATACTGGATTCTTACATTTTTATTCATTCATTATATCTCAACTGGATTCATCTTTTGTTTGATGCTGCTAGTTATATATGTGTTCCAAAAGGCAATCTGTAAAGATTTTAGATAAATATTTATGTTATACTATAAACGATGAAGAGTTTCTTACAACTTGAGAACTGCATATTAATCAACCAAGTGAAAGCTAATATTTATCTGGTTGCTTTAATGACAAAAACATAGATAGCATATAGTTACAATGATTGCTTTGAAAGCTTAACTTAAAAAACAAATACAGAATTGACAAGAAATATGTGAAATGTGTAGAATAACATACAATATTTTTCTGTGTGCCCGTGTTGGAACCATCCAAATGATAATTGATATTCCAGTTATATTTTTATGTTACAAAATATTTTCAATAGCTCTTGAAACTCAGTGAAGATTCATTGGTAAATTTATTTTATTCTGTCATTAAGATTCTAAGGCAGTGAAGCTTTTGATGTGCCACTAAAACAGAATTTACAACCTACACAAGCTTCCAAAGACTTTTCGGATCTTGCTCTTTGTATACAGTTCATTAACATTCCTTTATCACTTGTGGTGATAAAAAAGGCCATTACTAACCTTCTCATGAAAGAATCCCTGAAATCTTCCTATATAAATTGAAATATGTAGAATACTATTTTAGTATTAAAACATTATATATTGTCTCAAAATACTTTGCTTACGATTATTATTATTGATTAATTTGTATGTCACCTACTTCACCAGATTAGATACTGCGCAGATAAAATAGGTAAAATCTAAAAAGGTTTTGTGATAACACTTAGGAAATTTTGTAACGTTCTTTCATTAACTTGCGACTAATAAGACAAATCCTATAGTTCTTGAAATCCATTTCAATTGTTCCAAATAAATGTTTTGCAGGAGACAATAGAACAGGATGGACCATCAGTGATAAAGACTTACAGGTACAATATTGTGTTTTGTCAATTTTATATTAATGTCTTTTCATTACTGAAAAAATAAATCGTAAACACTTCTGGGGATCTCGTATATTCTCTAAAACCTTATAGAATAGGTGTCCTCAATCCTCGGGTCGCTACTGGGCAGTAAACTGTTCTAACCCTGAAGTAGCAGATGAACCTGCGCATCTCCTCTTGTGCGAGCAGAAGGTGAGGGTGCGCATGTATGTGGTCCATTTATGTGAATGGCAGGTATGCGTGCTCACTGATCACACAAATGGAGCTGTGTGCATGCACACACGTCCCTGCCACCCACATGCTCTGGCCTGCAAAGCCAAAAACTCTGTTGTAGAAGATAATCAAATAATTGTGTTAATTAGAGCTTCATGTAAGGTTTTATTCCTAGATATGTTTAAGTAAAGTTGTGCTATGCATAGAGGATTGTTCTCACCTAGCTGCTCAATTTTATCTCTAAACTGTTTTCTATCCAAGCTGAAACTTCCAGACAAGCTTTCATAACAGAGCTACATAACATGTTCTATTATAGTACCATTTTTGGATTATTAGGATATGCATCCTGTCCAGCATCATAATTGGGCAATTAAATTGAATATTATAACTTGTTACTTATTACAAACAGTTAGACTACTAAACTAAATCCATCTAACCACAATGCCCCTGTCTTCTCAAAATTCATCTTAGGTTTATGTAACCATCCATCCCTCTGTTCTTCCCAGGACTTATACAGAACTGCAATTAGCACAGTGCTGACACCATGTCACAGATGTCTAGATTATAATTTGTAATAGTTTGTTATAAGTGTTACACATCAGAAGGCAGAGAATGGAATCTTGAGGGATCCTACAATGCTGATACTATGAAGTCAAGTAGAATTAGCAGAATGCTGTTATCTGTTACTGAACAGTAGGAATGTTATTAACCTCTCTTCCCTTGGCCTAAAGTCAAAAGTGGTTTGAGAGTTCATGGCCATCATGGGTTGTGTTGAGGATTATTCTCATCAACTGATGGATAAAGTTGCTGAGATTTGCTTGACCCTGGAACACAGCTGTGATGGTCATCTGGGGATAACTGGACAAATTTCTGAGGAAGTGGAGAGAGTCCATAGAACTCCAATTTGCAAGCCACAAAAGTAATTCCAGAACAATCACAGTGGTCAGTGCTATTAAGCATTACTGAGAGAATCATAGTTCATTTCTGTAATCTCCCTCCCCCCCAATCACACACACACTAAGAAATGGAGACAAGGAGTACAACTGAATGCCTCCAGTAACAAGGCATTAACTACTTCCTGAACCCCATGTACAGGTAGTCCACAACAGTTGAGTCCAAAATTTCTGTTCTAAGTGAAATAGTTGATAAGATTTGCCCCATTTTATGATCCTTCTTGCCAAATTTGTTAAGCGAACCTCTGCACTTCTTAAGTTAGTAACATGGTTGCTACGTGAATCTGACTTTCCCATTGACTTTGCTTGTCAGAAGGTCACAGAAGGTGATCACATGACCCAGGGACACTGCAACCATCATAAATATGAGTCGGTTGGTTTCCAAGTGTCAGAATTTTGATCACATGACCATGGGGATGCAGCAGGGGTCATACATGTGAAAAAATGGCATAAAGTCACTTTTTTTCAGTGCCATTGTAACTTTGAACGGTCACTAAATGAACTGTTGTAAGTCGCGGAATACCTGTACTCTTTCTACAAATTCTTACTAAACATAACAGGCTCCTTCAAGCATCATTTTGACCTTGAAAACTGATCTTTCAGGTCTGTGGCATAAAGTCAGAAGTGTTTGTGAATGAGATGATCCTCAAAGTCCCGATCTACTCACCCCTCAAGAAAAATCTGCTGAGCAATTAACTGAGGAGATCCAAGCATTGAAAAGAGCAGTTTATAACATAAATGTCATAGCAAATGCAGTGCAATGACGGAAAAGAAATATATTTGCTGCTAACAAATGCTTCTCTAATGTATGCTTTGTTGATTTACTGTGAGATTTATGCTGCCCGACCTTGTCATAAACTGACTTGTTTCAGTGCTTGGAGTTCTCAGAAAAGATGCTTTCTGAGTTTCTTCTAGTCAGAGAAGGGAATTCAGAAGTGATATTGTAAGTGACTTTTTAAGAAATTTTTGCTACTTATTCCTTAGCAAAAACTAGAGCTTTGACAGCATGGTCAGCCCTTTCACCTGGTACATTCTCCAGAACATTGAGGAATTATTTGGCTGTAGTCACTCTTGAGGATATTCTCAACTGACCTTCCATTCCTTCATAGAGGGACTGCTAAAGTGATCCCAGTTTTCTTCAGGAATTGATCCATTCCCAGCCACCAAAGTTAGTTCTCCAATGATTGGTTATGATCCTTCCTTTACAGATCCCATTCATTTACTCAGATTTTTAAACTCCCCAGACAATTAGGTCTCAACACTTATTAAAATATTATAATAAAGGAGAAAATGTAAGAAGTCTGAAATGTATTCATTAAAAGGAGCAATAGAGTCAAATTTAAACAAAACCCTCAAGTGGTATTCATGAGAAAGACCTGGTGAAAAGGTAGGTCTTTGAAACAATCTATTTGGAGACAATTCAACTCATGAATTTCAGGACATGGAGCCTATGTTGAGATCATAGACTCCACCTACAGGGAACACCAAATTACAAGCATCTGTAAGATGTTTCATGGCCAGTCTTGGCAAAGATATTCATGAGTATGTCTGAGAACACTCCTACAAGTTAAAATGGAACTGTCATACTAAACCCTTAATTCATGGAAATGGTCCAGAACACCTTGGCAGATAATATAAAATATCTCAGAAAGATCATGCAGAATCAATGAAGTTGGGCTGTCTTTGCCTGTTAAAGAAAGTAATATATCAGCCATTTGTTGATTCTATTCCCAAATCAAGGTCTGAATATAGATTGAAAGCATAATGTTTATGCAATAGGTCAGTTCATTACTATTGTTTTATACCCGTTGTAAAGTCTGAGACATCTGCCGCCATTTCTAATCAATTTGGAAAATCCAGGCAAGCCAACCAAGCTGCAATTTTTCCTCTGGAAATCCATTCCTACTCCCACACCATTCAAAAGGTGTTCATCCCAAATTTTATAGCTAAAGGTCTGTAGAGATTCTCAGTCATCCAGGTCATCATTGACCCAAAAGTGCTTTTTCAAGAGGCAACTGCACTGTCTGTTTTTTCTTTTGAAGACGTTTCGATTCTCGTCCAAGAAGCTTCTTCACCTCTGAGAGAGCTTCTTGGATAAGAACCAAAATGTCTTCAAAGAAACACCAGAAAGTCCAGTTGCCTCCTGAAAAAGCACCTTTGACACAATGTAAAATCTGCTTAACCCCCATCACCCACAAAATAAAATAGAATAAGGAAAGCTTGCAAATTGTGACTTCTGGTATTCTTTCCAACCACTTAATATCAACTGTACTCTGAGTCATACAACCAGGAGGGAAGGACTCTAAAATGGAACAATTCCCAGCATATACAACCACTCCACCCATAGGAATTCATTGGAGAATTTTGTTCAATCTCCTTTTTTTCCTGTCACCTGTTTTCCTAAAAAAGAAACACTCCATCAATGATTGGGAAGTACTCTACATAATAGCATGAGTTGCTATTAACAGTTTTATTATTTTCCTTAATCATCACGTAAAGATTGAAAAAGCCTTTCATATAAGAATTCAAACAATGGTATGGGTTGTGGCAATATAAGCTGAGAGAGATGGGAAGAAGGCAGAAAAGGTGATGGAGGAATCTTCTGCTTCATTACAGGTGAATTTTCTTGGAGATTTCACACACAAACACAAACGCACACACACACGCACACACACACACACACCCCCCTCTACAAACCTGCTATTGCTCACTCCACTTAGGAGTTCTGCTTGACTGGTCTGGCAGTGAGCTGAATGGCAGAATGTCTAGAATAAACTAACATCTGCCCAAATGTAGCAACTGCTTTTTTTTCTAGCTTCCAGTCATGGTTTCAAGGCATTGGTGCACTCCTGAACCTGTTTCTTTCCTTTAAAAAAAGCACCCATATCTACTGGTAGTAAGATTTCTTAGTGAGGATTTATTATTTATGTGGGTGATGCAGAATAGGCAATAGCAGTAATGGGCACCTACTGGCTTTCTAATGCAAAAGGCTACAGTTGATAGTGACCATGTTATTTAATTAGAGGAGCACATACTGAGCCAGGTATTAGGGCTTAAAACTAAAGGTCAAAGAGCTGTGTGCACAGATGTAAAATGCAGGTGATGTGTAATAAGAAATTGGAGCATTAACTTGAACCATGGAATATCAGAAATATTTGGAACTAAGAGTGCAGTATATAGAAATATAGAAAAATACTTTTGTTTCTTGAGAAAAAGTCATCCTCAAGCTTTTCATATTTGGAAAAAGAGATACTTGATTTTTTTTCTTTCTTAAAGTCATAGTCTAGCTTTTGATTTTCAGTTTTATTTGAATTGGTATATTGACCAACTTCTAAATTTCTGATCTGTGTAAAAACATGGATATTTTTTGTTGGCAATTCAGTGGATGTTTCCTCATGGCACTTTATGTATGCAATTTAATAATGTCATCTCTACATTCATTGGTAGATTAGTTATTTTCCCAATTAAATTAAATGTATTTTGCAAAAGATGCTATTATTAAACAATATTGTCAATATTATTGACTAAAAGTTTTAGAAAAAAAGTAATTTCTACAAACTGCTTTGAAAAGGACATAATATAATCCTGCAAAAATATTTACAAGGTACTTATTTACAGATAGGAAGCCTATCTTGATTCTTGAGGATGTATATGTGTAAGAACTATAAAAATAAACACTTTTCTTTTAAAAATTCAATATCTTAGGCTTGATTGTTATAAAAGCTTAGAGTGGCAGAACATTAAGCTTTCAACTTCTAATAAAAATCCTTTTGTTTCCTCAGGCACAGATTGGTAATTATATTTCAGTGCGACATAACAACAGATATTACACAGCGGACAAAAACGTCACTTGCAGAAATTGTGATAAACGAGGTCATTTATCAAAAAATTGTCCTGCCCCAAAGGTAAATGTAGTATTTCAATTTGTTTTATTGCTAGCTGAGACTTTCAGACTTTAAAACGCTGGTCTGAAATAATTTTACTGGCTGGCGTTTTGAGAAAGAGAAAAGAAAGAAAGCAATTTCCATGCTCTCAACTGCAGTGGCAGTTTAGACCCAAGGAACATTACCTGCTAATTTCTTTGCATTGTGGATCCTATCCTAGAGATTAATCAGAGGTATTAGGAGCATGATTCCCTTGTAAGAGAGGAGATGGAGTATTTGAAGTTGGTGCTTTCTTCAGTGGCTCTCAGCAATATAATCCAATCAAGAGAGACCCAGTGGCCCATGCTGAGGATTACCAGCTGCTCGCTGAAGATTTCTTTTCTCTTTCCCCCACTTTAGTGAATGAGTGGACAGAACAATAGGGCTTGTGAGAAAGTGAGATACAGGCATGCGTCCTATAATTAGTCCCCCCTCTGCCCTCATTGAGGAAGCAAATGATAAAACACAGCTTTTACACCTTGTACCGTGTCCACCTTGCATACACTTTCTATTTCTATATGCATGCCTAGAAGAATAGGGAAAAAATGTCCACTGAGCTGATGAGAGAATTCATTCTACATAATATAGAATCCATAGTATTGTGCATAGTGGTTGGCAACCCAGTGCTAATAATTTTTCATCAGGACGATAGCAAAAATGTACATGTTTAAATATCTCCAGGATAGATTTAAGCAGTATGTCTACATTTTATTAGTTGTATGCTCATTGACTGAAAGATTATGGTTGAAACAGAAGTGTAAAATTTCACTACGAGTTCAACACACTAATATCATTAATACCATGAGACATTTAAAGAATGTCTCAAAAAATTAAACAATGTGGCAAATTGAGCGGTGAGCAAGAATATATAGAGCATTGCAGAATGATAAGACAATCCATTGGCATAATCAGTTAGTTAGTGGGAGCTTTCCTGATTGCTGTTAGATACAATTTCATGTGTTCTTGTCACAGAAAGGCATTCCGGCTATCTCTGTGAATATGAGCAGGTTTGGCCACTGCCCTTCATTAGCAGTTCCAGTGGAAGTGTTATCTCTACATCCATAGATAGGTGTCAGCTGGAGCCAGCTTTCAAACCTTGGTGGAAGGTTTACAGAGGACACAGCTGCTTTAATGCTTTGAAGAAAGATGCTTCAATCACAGCGATGCACTTTGCAAACCACTTCTTTCAAGTGCTTTCTACAGTACTGTTATCTAAGTCTTAAATAATAGCTGGTAGATTCTAGGAATTGAATTCCATGTATCTTAAAGTTGCCCGGTTTGAGGAAACACTGGTCTAAGTAACTACTTCTGTTCAAGCAGATTGGTCTTATTGGTGGAATTTTGGGAGGACCCCTTGTTGTGCCTAGCAGTACTGGAGATGATTCATTTAATTTATGTTTTAATTATTAATTGAGGGCTTCCTTGTGTAGGCTATGCATGAGATTATGAAATAGTACAATAGGTCTTAAGCGAAGGACTTAGACGTTCTCTGTGAATATAAATAGAAGCGCCTTGTTTATTTTACTTAATTTAAATTCCTCTGATTCTATAAACATTTGATCATTTTTGTTTCTTCACATTTATGTTGCAGAAAATTCCACCCTGTTGTCTTTGTGCACAGAGAGGTCACCTACAAAACAGCTGTCCAGCACGATTTTGTTTAAATTGTTGTTTGCCAGGACACTGCTCTAGAGAGTGCCCTGAGAGAATGTACTGGAAAAAACATTGCAACCGCTGTGATATGAGAGGTCATTATGCAGATGTGAGTACATTGTTAACAGAAACTACCCAGTGAATCTTTTTTTTCTTTCTCCCCCACCCCCCACCCCCAATAGCTTATAATCTGTATTCCTATTTATCCATTGCTGGTTTCTTAGCATATGTTTGTCTGAAGACACAGTTTATATGTACAAAATTCTGCACCATAAATATGTGTAAAAATAATGAAAAAGAATGCAAAAATAGAAATACAAAAGCATTACCAATAGGTACTGGAATGCTAAATTATTGTTTGAACAATTTTTTTTAATTTCTGAAATGCATTGGTTTCTATGAAGTAAAATATTCTATAATTCATTAAATGAAGTTTTGGCCTGGCATTTTATTTTTGTTATTAACAGAAATGATTTCAAATTATATAAAATTTGCAGACATGCTTATCCTTTATGAATACATTAGAAATGCAGTTTGCCTTTCCTGCATATGAATAACCATAGAAAAACTTACAAAAACACAATGTATGCATTATATTTTAAAATGTATATTTATTACAGGTTTAATATAGAGACTAAATTTCACTATGAGAGTATAATAAACAGCATACTTACCATCTCATTCTTCCCAATGGGAATAATACCAGCATTCTTTAAGCAGTTGTTTTACGAATTATTAAGTATATACAATTTAAAACACTCAGAATGCAATAATAATAAAGCTGATGAGAAAATAATCTAATTATTATGTTCATTTTTTTCTTAGGGTCCAAATTATTTAGTTTTGTATGGCATATAATTACATTATTCCAACAGATCTCTGACCAGAAACAAATAATGCTGAGGAAGTTAATAGATGCCATTTATTTACATATCTCATCAAAATTCATAGCAAAAGTTGGTTGCCATGTGATATTCAGCAGCCAGAGCTTTGTAGCACAGATTTGCCAGATAAACAGCTTGCATATTCTCTTCTAAAAACCATGTGCTAAGAAAAGCTGATTAGGCAGTGTGTGTGTGTGTGTGTGTTTTCATAGTCTCAGTTTGTAATTTTTTTTCTTATAATCGTAACTGAGAAGATTAGCTGCTATTCATGGTATTGATGTCCAATCATTTATCTCTGGAAATTTAACCAGGTGTATACATTTTATTTATATTAGAGATTCTGAAATACTTCCTTTAAAATAGAAAGAGTATACAGTCTTTTGTATTCCTATGTTCCAATTAATTTCTTTTTCAGTTTCTGTGATGAAGTATAAAAAGTTAACATATATAAGATCCATTAGTGGGAATGGGAATGTTGTTTTTTACAAACATGAAATTGATTTTTTTTTTTACTATGTTATACTTTGGAAGGGATGATACATTGTAAAGATTTCATAATATAGGAAAATTGTAAAAACTATTTAAATTCTTGTGAAGATAGGCGTCAAAACTGATGGTTCAGTGCAAATTAGAACATAATTTTCAAATGCTGTTTTTCATTTGCCCCTTTCATTAAAAATGAATCCTTCTCTGATCTTCTCTCATTTTCATTATGCCACTTAGGCATCCTTGAATAACTTTCCTTTATCTTCTGCATTATACTGCAGTTACTCATGGAAGTTCCTTCCATTATCATGTATGATTGCAGCACCTGTCCTTTGAAATAGCATCCTCTCCAAGATTCATATGGCACCCAGTCTGTAGGTGTTCCAAAAATCCTTGAAAACCTGGCTTTGCTTCTAAGCTGGAGTGAATTGGTGTCAAACTCTCTTGGTTTTCTTTTTCTAGTATATTGGGTTTGTTTCTCAAGACATTTTTTTCTTTGTCCTTTTATTGCTTTCTAGTTTTAAAATATCAGCTTGGAGGCATCTTTGATTTGAGTGGTTATAAATCCAATAATATTAAATAAACCAATTAGTTGGCTAATCAGTGTATGTGTGAAAAAAATCCCACACTTTATCAAGAAAATTACCTTATCAATAAATAAGATGCACTTAGACTGATAAGACTTGTTCCCAACTTGTAATAACTGTGAGGATAGGACCGTATATTTTTCCTAATCTTTGCGACTTCTCAAAAATAACAGATACTCAACAAGTTCTTTTTTTAATATTTAATTCATTTGACAGTATGAGTGAATAAAATCTGAACTCATATAACAAATGTAGATGCTATATCAATTTTAGAGACAATCTTGCCTCTTCAATTTGCTTTTAGGTTTACTGTTTCTCCCCCACCCCTTTCATACTAAACAATTTAAATCCTTTTTATTATTAGCATTTTTCCCCAAACTCAAATACTGTAATATTGTTCTCTATTCACATCTTATGTAATTTAGATTTTTTTAAAGAATTTCTGTCCAGGTCCATCTTTTCCAATTAGGGTTTCATGTCACTGAATCTTAGGTATTACTGTTCTATTAAAATCTACTTCCTTGAAATCTAAATTATGTTTTTACTGATATGCTCAGATATAGTTTTCCATAAAATTGAGAACTCCTGTGCTGCCTGGTCATTATTTCCATATCATTAACAAAAATGCTTTTCATTGGTTAGAATCATGTCAAGGAGAGTTGATCCCCTTGTGCCTTCTTTCAGCTACTGATGGAGAAAACTGTTAACCAGGCCAGTTCAAATTTCCTAGTGAGACCAGTCTTGGCAGAGATTGCTTTCTAACAGATGTCAGTTCAATTAAAAATCCCTCCCCACCTCTCTAAAAGATTTGCAATTTCCTTTAAAAAACAACAACAATCCACACGTACTTTGTTGGCTGATAGTAATAGACATACACCATATTTTGTCCGTTCTTCTACTTTCTTTAATTTGGATTTACCAATGGTTTTCTCAGTTTTCCTATTTCCTACTTTTCTAAACCCGTTAGAATTTAAGTAAACACTTGTACATAATTTAAATAAACATTGTAGTTCATCTTTTGCCGTCCCCCTCCCACTTTCTGTTTATTTTGAACAAGTTTCATTCTTCACTGCCAAACTATGCTAATTATGGGATCAAAATTCAAATTTTATTTGTGTAGTATTTAGGCCATAACAAACCAATTATGACTCATCTCATAATAGCTTGTATTCATCAGATTATATTTATCCTCTTGCATTAAAAGTTACAATGTTTATTCCTATATTTTCAATAGGATTTTGCCAGTTTCTTCTTTGAAGAAAACTTCCTTAGTTTTATTAGTTTTTTTACAGCAACATTGTGTCTTTACATCTGAGCTTTGCCACTAACTTCTTAATGTTTTAGTTTAAAGCCTAATCTTTCTAATCAAACTCAGCATCCTTTCTGAAAAATCATTTAAAACTATGCATGCAAAATTCATTCAAACTTATTTCTAAAACAACATGATGCATTTATTTGAAAGAATGCATTATAAAAATATAATAGGATTAAAAAAATGAAATGAATGATAGAATTTCCAAAGAGTAATACATAGTAAATGTTTGAAAAGTGCATGTTTTCCGGACAGTGTACATTTCCTTCTTAATATTTATAAGCATATTTATTTGAGAACAAAATCTATTATTTCAGTAACATTTGCAAAAATAGTCTTAAATTCCATTTAATGCATTATTAATTGATGAAATATTACTTGTCTGAAAATAAACATAATGAAATCTCAGATTTAAGTCAATGTATATAACAATTTTCTAAAAATCAGATACATTTAAATCTTAATTCAGCATTCCAAACATTCAGATATATTTATCTTCTATTTTAAGATTTTCTTGCTCAGAATATTGTAATATTGTCATCGTGTGGCTTAGATCCAAAAGTGATTTTATGTCCACAAAAGGACTGTTCTACTTAGCCGAAGAGTGCAAGTTGGGAAAAGTGAGCCTAGAAATAGAAAGGATCCTCCATGCATGCAACATCTTTTACAGAATTCTTCACATACTCTTTCCTAAGATCCTATTGGTTTCCTAGGTTTTGTCTGGCTCATATTCTGATACAAACTCCATGAGTTTGTGGGATTACATTCAGAAGATGGTTCCTTGAACATTGCTCAAAATAACAGTACAAATATAATTTTTGCTTTACCTTATGGATCTTTTGCTTAGATGTTTCTAACTGTCACTTGTCTAATTTATATTATTTAGCAGGGCAATTTTCTGTGAGAATCTGTTCTGTTGGCTTTATACTTAGCTCCTAAGCACTGTATTTGGTTTTTGCATAATGTGGGCATCAATATAATTCTGGGTCCCCAACATGGTGCCTGAAGTACTCTTGCCAATGTGCCCATATAATCCCTTATTTATTCCCTTGACTACTCTCCCTGCTTGACTTTAGTTCTTGTCTTATGAGAAACTGCAAAGCAAAGTGCCAAATTTCCTTATTTCCCAAAATTCTTCTGTGTCTCAAATAACCCCATAAACTTTTGAGACAATAAAAATGATTGACAGGTATGTTCACCTGCCCAGAGAGGAAACAAATGTAAGCAAAGGGAATGGGAAGGACAAGTAAGTATTCCCATAAATCTGGTAAATAGTTATAGTACTGTAATATTTTATGAAAGGACAAACCCATCCAGTATCTACTTTATCAGAACAACTACATGTTTTCAACAATCCTGATGTGCTTACCATTCCCAAAAGATTGGAGAGCCTTATTACAATCTAATATGCAAATGTTAGTGGAATTGAAGTTGACATAGGCAAAATGGAAATTTCTGTTGTGGGCAATCAGAACCCCTGTGAGATTCTCCTGACCAACTTGCTCAGATTGAAGAAGCTACTTGGATAAGCAGTGAAACATTTCAAACCAAAAAAGAAAAGATAGTCCAATTGCCATGACTCAACTTTCAGACAGCTCTACCTGGATGACTGAGAATTTTCATTGACAAATCAGAATCCATGTACTAGAATTGCCTTCGTCTTACAGTTAACATTGATAGGCTTTCCAGTGTCTCTCATGGAACCTATGGATCATATCTGAACTGCAGTGCTATGTTGGCCTCTTGAGCACTGAGTTTGCAGTTTATTGTTATAGTTTCATAGCTGTGGACAGAACAAAACAGATTTTCAGTGGAAATGCATTTCTAGATGAGAAATCTATGGCAAGCGTACACCTTTGTATGCGGAGACATTGCTATAATGCATAAGAGAGCAAGTGCCTGTTTATTTCCCTCTCTCTTGGTTATGGTGTGTGAACATTTAGCATGTTACAGTAAGTATTTAGAAGAATGTGTTCTCAAATAACCACCCTGTCCTCTTCGACCTGCTCCAGGAAGTAACACAAACTTGACAAAGGTAAGTGCTTTACATAGACATATGCAGGAGAACAAACTGCACATGTCTATGTAAGGCACTTACCATTCCCTGTAATGATCTGGACCCTATACCTGTGTGTACTTTGAAATTTCCTCAGTATATAAAAATTACAATGAATCTTATTGCAAAGGGTGCTTTTAGGATTCTCTGATTCTTGTAGTGCATATAAGTTGAGGAAGGGTTATCTGGGGCAAGCTGTTGATAGGGTGTCCTGAAATGTTTTATTGATGACTTTTAATCTGCTCCCTTCCTGTTAACTGTCATGCAAAGGTAATTAATATGGCTTGTATTAGTAAATCTTTTGTTTGCTGCAGTGGCTTGCAATGGGGCAGCTCTTAACAGCAGCGTTGACAAAGCACAAGAGAATTCTGTTAAAAAGTTGTGTTTAGTAATTGTAGTCATTGTGTCAGGCCATAACTGACTTGGAGCTGAAGGATTTTTGTGAGATGAGTAGCTGTGCCAGCAGGGACCCAAGTCTCCTGGGCCAGCCGCACTCTCATTAAGATTTGCCGCTAGCAGTGGCGGTGTTCGGCAAGTATGTGACGTGCATTCTGTTATTGTATGCTTGGCTTGTCAGCCTGCAGCTTTCTGACACTCACTTATGTCACTCTTTATTCAGAGAGGAAGAAGCTTTTGATAATTTGACAAGACAAGCTCTTAAACGATCTAGGTCATGGCCTTCACTGTCTGTGATTGTGAACATATTTCCTGAAAGCCCTGTCACTCATCACAGCTACATTTTCTCCCGGGGAGTCGTAGGCCTGTCCTGGTCTCTTGTCAGCTCATACATTTTGGTTATTCATATACCAAATATAGTCTTGGTGGAGGGATGTTTTTTCCCCTTCACTTTTGCAAATGCTAGCATGTTAGTAAGGCTAATCCTTTCTCCTGTGTTGTGTTCCCAGCAGGGTTGTGTTCAAGGGTTCTCTCTGGTACAAGGCAGACAACTGGCCAAGGGGAGCTGAAAAGGAGGAAAGGCCGCTTAGTGCTGTTTTTGTGTTTGTTCATTGTTGTGGAAATATGAGAACTGGTGGCAAGGGCCTTGTCTATTGAGCACTTGAGTCTTGGTCTGCTGTCAGGGGCTGTTTAAGATTGAGTGTTTTATTTTCTTTGATGTTCACATTTGAGAATAGGGAAGTGGGAATTAAACAACAGATGCACTAAGCCGTTGTTCTCATAAAACAATAATTAGCACATGATAAAATTCAATATGGGTCAAATGGAACAATATAAACTCTTGATTCATCTTGTGTGACAAAGTGGGTTGATCTGTGCTTTATTTTTATGAATACTCACCAGTCCGAATTACTGATAGGGTAAATATTTGGAATTTCCAGTTGTGCAAAACTTAAGAAGCAAACTGATTACCATTTTACAGAGATCCAGAAGTGTGTTTGTTGTGAAGAATAGGCATTTTATGTACATAGAACTAGATGTTAGTTCAATTGCACCACTGAGCCAGAAAATAAATGGAATACTCTAATGTAGAGAAATTCTGTAACAGTTTTTCACCTAGAGAACAATTTATATTTAATCAGATATTCAGGTGTTACCAGATTTAGAGGTACTGTCTTCCATAGCAAGCAATTCTGCATCAATTAAGCAATCTAGAAACTATAGCAATTATTTAGTATTTCAGTGTTAAGGGAACAATGCTTTGAAGCTAATCAAAGAATGAATTGGTCTCAGATTTGTATGAGTCATTTGGAAAAAAACATTTTTTGAAACATCTTTCAGGATATTCAATCCTAAATGCATTTGATTAGAGTTCAGTCACATTGTACTTAACATTAAATGCTATGTTAAATATTAATGTATCTTTACTTGGGACAAAAATAGTGAAAAATACTGAGTGAGTTTTAGATCTGGGTAATTTTGTTTATTGTGTGGATTTTATTTTATTTTATTGTTCCTTATAGGCTAAAAGTGAAGAAATATTTATATGAAATTTAGCCGTTCCCTAATTTATGTTTCATTTCTATTTTTTGAAGTCCTTAATTTATTTCAACCTAACAACATTGCATAATATTAATGTTTCATCCCCTGTTAGAGGTGATATATTTGCTAGAGCAAATTTTAATATTATTAATACACTGAGACACATACTATAAAAATGCCATTTTTGCATCACGCTCTTCATTGCCAATAGTTTTTCAGCCAAATTATCATTGAGAAAAATGCAGTGATCAGGACCTAGCCAGAACTAATGGATAAATAACTGTTTGTTTATCACTATGGTAAGCCAGTGAAAATATTGCCAACAGTAAAATCTATTTAAAGTTTGAAAGTAGTAGAATACTATTGTATTGTAGGATGAAATGGGGACTCATAATTTAGTTCTGATTTCACGATCTGTTTAGGAAAAGTAGATCTGTTTATTTTTTGTTTCATACATGTTTATTATTTAATATATGGGTTTTAGGGTGTCTATCTCTATGTGTATAAAAGCATGCATATATGTGAGCATATACAAAATAGTTAAGTCCTCTTTTCTTTATGTCCACATAGATATTGAGTATAGCTTACAGTTCCCCTTCTAATTAAGTAAAGTCTAAAAAAACACCAAAGTTTGCATTTGGATGAGAAAGAAACTACTCCATTATATCTTTTTAAAAAAACATATACATTGCTTAAAATTTCTTAGTTTACATTAAACTACAATTATTAGAAGAAAATTGCATGATTATTTTAGAAATTATTTTATAATATGTATTATTATAAACCTAATTGCAATGATTCAGAAAGTGGGCAAATTAGTCGCATTACAGATAATGGAAAATTATTAGAAAAGAATTGTCAGAGCAACATCAAAACAGCTATTTTATAAAATTTGAAATGGAAAGTCTGCTTTTATTTGAAAATTCCATATTCTGTTTCTAATGTGAAAATTATAGTGAAAAGGAAATAGTGTTAAATAGTATTTTTTTGTATTTTCTTATAGTTGTACTCCAGAGAGTACAACCATAAGAATTGTTCTGTGCATTCAAATGTGCCTTATTTTGCTATGCAGTTCTGTGAGGTAGAACAAAGTGGAATAATGCAGAAATTGCAAAACCACAAGCAAAAAAGCATAACTACATGCAATATTTTGATTAAAATTAAAATTGTATTCAAAAATAGAATAACGATTAAATGAAAATATGATTTAAATCAATCTCTAAGTGATGTATCACACCACCCTTAAAAGTTGAACATCTCTGGCATTTATTTACATTTTGGAACTATTATAAACTTGTCTTCAAAAGTTCTAAACTTTAGCAAAAAGAAAGGGGGAGAAACTGTTGCTGGCTTTCTGACAATGGCAGGGAGTGTGTTAAACCAGTGTAAAATTCAATTAAACTGTCTAGCCAGGTTTTTGAAGCTGAAATGCAGACCCTCTCAGTTAAGCTTCTTATTTTCCTGTGACCGACACCAGTGGTTACTGTGTTATGCCAAAATCAACAGGCTGTAAAGCACCTTGTTTCATGCTCCCAGCTGATCAATATTTTTATTTTCCAGGCTTGCCCAGAAATATGGAGGCAGTATCACCTAACAGTAAGTAGAAACACCTTTTTATTTTGTCCTACACCAGGCCTATTTACTCTTCTGTGAACTGCTGACCATAAAATAGAGACAAGGATCTTTTGAAGAAAGTTAATAAAATATCTGATGAGAGTTAGAATTGAAGAATGCAAGAATATCCTATGATATTTTTTTCCCTGACATGTTCTTCTAAACAGTTTGTGTAATAGAAATTACCTATGGTAGTACCATGTCAGTTTGCTGCATATAGCTTCTTCAGAAGTACATAACAAGAATGAAATGTCTCCTTTAAACACCAACAATATCAATAAGTGAATCATGGACTCTACAGAAACTGTTATAGTTTCACTGTTCTTGTGATTAGTTGCTTTGATGAAATACCATAATTAATACTAAAACAAAATTTTAATATCTGTTTACAATGAAGTTTATAAAGCACAATCAAAATGTACAACAAAACTTTCACTTTAACTGACTATTAATAGTATTAAATATATTTGTGGTAAACTTCATGCAAAGTTCTGTTTGGCTTCATAATTTACTTAACTATATCTAAATTTCTCATGGGAAATTGGAATGGCTGTTGGCAGATCATAAAGAGATAAACTGGCTCAAGAACAGAACTTATTTCTTCGTGGACTGATTTTTTCTTAGAAGAAAATATAATTGATAGATGGATAATACATATGACCACAAGAGCGATTTTGAGTTCCCCTATTTTTTTCTATACTATTGTATGATCTGTTTCTTTTTAATCTTATATACTTTTTACAATAATACATTTCTGAAATTTCCTTGATTGTGCATTTTTTTGCAGAATCAGAGATAGCCTGAATGTGCATTGTTATATAGTATGGCTGAGGTTTTCAAGAAGTTATGATGTAGCTTCTCTGTTCAAATAGGAATTTAATATGGAGTAACTACTTAGATTATTATTTGGCTACTTTAATCTTAAGGCTGCAAAACTATCACTTCTAAAAGTTTTGTTTTGTTTTTAAATTGCCTCAACTAATTTTTGATGAATTAGTAAGCTTTCGTGTTATACTTATACTATATTTTGGATTCTGAGATGAAAGAATACAATCTGCTTGTGTGATTCTGGTAAAAAGCTTTATATTTTTTGTTCCTTCCAATATTTATAGAACAGAATAGAATATTTTTTATTAGCCAAGTGTGACTGGACACATGCAAGGAATTGCAATTACATAAAAATAATAAGTTATCTACCTAAATTGTTTTCAAAGAATATCATAAAATTAAAATACAAGACGTGAAGCTATTTATATTGATGTACTATGGACATATTTACATTAGCCCTCAAAATTATGAAATAAATACTAATTCATATTTGAATTTATAAGCTCATGTTAAAACAATATATTCCACATTTGTCTCTTTAAGTACAGTTGAATCAGATTGTAATAAACCAGAATATGAAACATATAGGAAATCTGCATAAGGAGAACAAATTTAGTGTAACATACAAATATATACCATGTAGATAATCTTTTAATCCTACTTATTATGCATGTTTATCAAAAGGGTTATATAAAATGTGTGGTTATTTTTTCATGCATAAGCAAAATGTCTCTAATTAATTGCTTTGAATGCTTCAGATCAATAGAACATATTTGTTATTTCTGAGACTTCATAAATTTTATTCATTTTTCTCTCTTACTAAGAGAAGGGGTGCCATCTATTGACTCACTGTGGTTACCACAGCCAAAATCATTACCAATAACAATGGCTAAATAAGTAGCTGATAGTTACAGATTGCTTTTACCTTTTTTGTGACATTTTTGGCATACCAAGTCTTGGTGTCATTTTCAGAGTGTTGCCAGAACAAAAAGTGAAATAAGAGATTTGGAAAGCATGGAAGATTAAGAAATGATACTAAATTGGTTCCTTGAAAATTTGCAAATGACATTTTTATTTTTAACATTGTTGTATAAAGAAGCCATTGAATTTTAAAATCAACAAATCTACATTAAAGAAAAAGACTTACAACAGATTTTAAATACAAAGTGCAGTCGAATACATTTAAAAATTACAACTGTATTTTCTATAAAAATATTTCTAATTACCAAACTATCAAGTATACTATCATAAAGATATCCAAAAATCAAAACTATTTTTAATTTAGGGCAGGAGTCTCTATGTTTGTCATTGGGTAAATTATATATTTGCTGTCTAGTACGCAACTGTAAATGAATATATAGTATTTAATTAAAAGAGATCCTAAATCACATCCCGTTTTATATTATGCATATTAAATATGAGCTCAGATCATTTCATAAATAGTTATGTGCTATTTTTAATATTTTATATCGTTTATGAAGTTTGTACCCTTCAGCCTACATAAACATATTTTTTACATGCGAGTTGCAAATCTATTCACACTGCATTTTCCATTAGGTAGGTAAGACCTTTATCCATTTCATCTGGCTTAGAAGCACCTTACTTTCCCTGGTCTTCTTGACTTCATATATATCATATTACTATTAAGAAAAAACGTATGACAGTTCTTATTTTAGATGGATTTTATGTTGATGTAAGATTAGTTCCTATGGTCTTATCAGTGCAGAGAGTTTGGCCTTGAGTATACATTAGTTGGGATTCAAAAGGGTATGTATGCCACAGAAAGGTAGTGGCTAATTCTCCCTTCCACTGAAGAAGGCTACTATCCAGGAACTATGGAAGGCAGCTGACAAAAGGTAGAACCATGTATGTACATATGATGCTTTGGAAACCAACAGCACCATAACAAAATTACCCTCCTAATGGAATGTTCTAGTGCTTCAAGCAGTAGCTGGTAATAAGGGAGAGCATCCTAGAAAATCATTTGTGGTTATATACCAGTTACTCTAGACTTCCTTTGTGCTTCCTGAATACTTTTTTTATTAATATACTTACCTTTTGACCCTAAAATTTTCAAGATGTATGGGAGAGATATTAATATAATATTCAACTCTCTTTTAATTATTTTACAATTATAATTGTCAGGATAGACAATTTTTAATATTGTGATGTTTTCAAAGTAGTATATTTTTATATTCAAGTCTTATGCTAATTAATTTAAAAATGCTATACTGTGTTGGATAGGATATCTTAGAACAAAACTTTTACAGTATCTTCACTGGAATTGTGGAATTCATGATAAAATATGCTTGATTGAGATTTCACATGTAAAGCCGGTGTCATATAAAGCCAGGTAAATCTTGTAAAATCTTATACAGTTATGTTCATATGCTATACCAATCCTTTTTCAGGAAAGAGATTATCATCTATTTTAAAAGAGTATAATTTATGGATTAAGCATAAAATATTACATATGCAATATGAATTGATTTGGTTTAAAATCCTTTAGCGTAAAATGAATTTCAAGCAAAAGCAAAGCTTTATCAGTATATGAGCCTCTTTCTGTTTTATTTGTGGTGCTTTTCTTTACATTTAAAGCTATTGGCAATTGGATATTTTTTCCCCCCCCCAGAGGATTATGGTTTCTTCTGTTACCGTGTTTTGTGCATGCAGTAACTTCCTTTCCACCATCTGCTACTACAGTCCTCTCATTTGTATCACAACCTCCTTCCCCATGATGACCACCAACACATAATCACAATTTGGCTACTGTCATATAAGAAGCTTTAAATTCGTGATTCTGTTCATATATTAATATTAAAAGAGAACACAGAATTTCTATTTTAATAGATATATTTCAAATACATGAAATTACAAAGCATGCTGTATGTTTTAATTTTTTGCTGTGTTATTGAAATTCTGTTAAGACTTTTGTATAAAAAAATAAAGAAATAAGTGAGCAGGTAAATTTGGATTGAATTCTGGATTAAATTCAATATTGAAAAATGAATGTCCTAAAGCACAGCTATATTTAATAGCCCTGCATTTAAAGAAGTTATAAGAAATTTACAAAGAATGTGTAGATAAAAAATCATTTAGGATTTGCCAGATTAGTTGAAAATGGGTTCCTTGTAATCAGACTAATGCATATTTGCATATATATAGTACATTGATTGTTATAACATGATAATGTTTATAAAAGAATAGTCTTGTCTTGTTCATTTACGGTAGTTTAAGGAAAAACTGTACTTGTTTAATCTAAATGTAGATTTTGGATTTTTACACAATTTTCTATCAGTCTTCAAGCCAATCCCTTTTCTTTACCCAGAAATAAGCTCCAAAGAAAAAGATAGAATGACATTACAAGTAAATGTGCCTAGTTTTGCAGTATTCAAAAATGTTGTACTGAGAACTTATTGTTTAGAATTTAACTTTAATGCTATTCTACAAAATTCCAATATTAGGTGTGTTTATTGTTTACCACAATATTCTTATGCCCAGAGTTGTTGGGAAGTTGGATGAATGTGGAACTCATATGAAATGATTACTAACTCCATTTTTTAAAAAGAAAAACTTTAGTAATAATAAGACTGCTTATTGTTGTGAAGAGATACTTTATCTTAAAGTAAAAAAATACAAAACAAAATTCTCACTTATTTAAACAAAGTGTGTAAATTAATCATAATTAAAAAGATTTGGTAAATAACATATGGTCAATTTTTCCTTTATTTTCTAGGAAACATTGCATTTTGAATTTTTTCATTGAAACTAATTAAATATTTTGATATTAAGTATCAGAGTTTCTTTAGTTACATTCTACATAAATACATAATAATATTGAATTAATTCCTTAATTCAATCCTTAATCCTTTTTTTGCTAGATTAGAAGAGTGCTATAGTATGTATAGAAATGGTATATCTTCCCAAATAACTAACAGTACATTATCTGCTGTGTAACATCAATACCCCTCCCCTACTTCCAGTAATGGCAATACCATAATGAGGTGGTATGGCAGCAGTATTTACTTTTAGTGCTGTTTTAGATATTGCAACTGTAATTCTGTATGCATTATTTGGGGAGTAAGTTTTATTTGAATTCATCAGAACTTTTCATTTAATATGCATACATTCAATAAATATTTTCAACATGCCAA